CTGGATTTTCAGCTCAGAGCTATTTCGAAGAGGGATTTAGCAAAAACGGACTACAGTTCCGGAGATTGCACCACATGTAACATGATGTCCAGCTGCAAAATCAGGTCTCTCCTTCATCAATACCGGGGGTCTGGCATAAGAGAGGGAAAAAGGTTTTCTTTGTGGATTTATAGAAGCTGCGGCACATGGTTGGAAGATGTGATGTCAGTGGGACTCGCTGTGTCGAAACACAGACGTAATCTGACACCCTCAGTGAAGTTGTGGTAAAAAGGGTCCCAGCACACCTCGCACTTCTAGCTGGTCCCAATTCACAAGTCGTTTTCCACAAACATTTCGTCATAAAAACGTAAAGAGCCTGTAAGGTACAAAACAGGAAAAATGCATAGTGTAGAGTGGATATAGATTTGACCAATCACAGGTCTCCTATCTGCAGCACTGTCTGCGGTCACCTAGAATTTGGGAGGTGCACCAGAGTCTCTGCGGACAGGGCGGGGACACATTTGTGTTCGCTGCGACACACACTCAGACAACCTGGTTTCTGAGTATAAATCAGCCTTTACTCCCGGCCAGCAGTAGCCTCTGCCCCACATTCAGCATACTTTCTCAGAGGGGGACTTATTAAACTTTCCACCATGCTCCTTTAGTCCTTCACCGTTAGCTTTGCTAGCCTTGGTGAGCTGTAGCCTTTCCCTGCCCTGCCGCTTCTCTGATCTAGCACTGTGCTCCTCCACTCTCCTCTTTCGCTGCATTATCTCTCCGCTCTGGCACGCTGTCTGCCCAGTGGGCTCCTCTGATCTACAGCTGTGGTTCCTTAGCTCCAGAGGAGGGGCACGACTAGCCATATCATCCTGGTTATGGAGCTCTCTCTCCTGTTGTTCTCACACTGAATCCCCGCTGCTTCTGTCTGAGCTCAGGACTCTGTCTTGTCTTCTCTTTGTTGTACAGGGGATTCTTCCCTCTGTTTTGGGCACTGGCTTTAACAAACATTGATGAAGTGTAGAACGATGCATGTCCGCTCAGAAAAAAAATCATCAACAAGACACTGACCAGCAGTTAAAATCAGTGGTCTCCATAATGACCAGCCGGTTGCCATTCAAAGGAAAATTATGCAACACTGTTGATTGGTCCCTGGTAGTCTAATTTAAAGCGTTACTGGAATTTGAAATCATGTTACTGAATTTCCATATATGTTTGTGAAAAAATAAAAAAGTTTAGTTATAAAGAAAGGAATCAGCAAAGTAAAAGACAGCGGTCTCTTGAAAATCTTTGAAAGTTTTTCAGGGTTTGAGGTCTCAGAGAGTGATTCCTACTGCTGTGAACACGTCATTATTTTCTGTTTTGCTCAGCATGGCGTTTTTTGTGATCAACATAGTTAAAATGTGCTTAAACGCACATGTATCCATGTGTTTCTCAATTTTTAATTTCCAGTAATCTGAGTAATTGGGTCCAACTCCAGTGCCCCACTGAGCACATGTAAATTATAGGGAGCATTCCAGGGAGAGCCATGCTTGGTGGCTGTTAAAGGTTTTTTTTTTTTAAATAAACAAGCATTTTGTTTTTTTTTTGTTTTTTTTTGCTGTTGGCTGTTTGTGAAAATATCATATATTCATAACCCCCCTGGTGGGGGTGGGAAATATCATATTTAATCTAACAATATTCAGACTGTTGTATATTGTTTGGTGAAAATACGCCCAGTTGCCTGTGTGTTTAGGACAACGAATGAACGTGTGAAAGGAACTCTCTTTGAATGTAAGCTGTACATTTATCAACCTTTATTGATTCTGATTTAGCACCTTTTATGCCGGTCATTGTTTTTATTTAATTTGCATTGCTTTAAAAATAATACATTGATAACATATTCAGCAGTAGCAGGTGATAAATGATGCAAATAGTGGCCCTTGAGCTTGAGAAAATTGGTAGTTGATATAAAGTAGTTTCTTACATTTCTTATATATTTATTGAACCACTCTATAAAGTAAAGCTTCCAGAAGCTGCTTTTAGAATCTATACCACTTTAGGCTAAATACACTAATAGATCTGTCTTCCTACAGCAGATATTTTTTTTTTACTTATCATAGCTGTAAAAGCCCAGGTGAGATGGAATTTGTTAACGCTGGCTTGGTCCCATTAGACGACTCGGTGAGCTGTGAAACCTGCAGGAATTGAAGATAGTCAGCTGGCTCACCTCCACGAGACGTGGCTGCTTTTAGTTTTATGATTGGTAAAGTCAAAACGCCCAGGGCCTGTTCCTAATGACACCCTGACAAACATTAACATTAAACACCACCTTTAAAACACCAGCTGGAACAGCCAAGTGTCAGTTAGAACAAAAAGCTGTAATGATTTTTTTTTTCTTTCCTTCTTCTTTCTGCTCATGTTTTAGGACTTGAAAAATATTGAATTCCTAAAAATAAATTGTTTCACTCAGCTTCCTTCTTGTACAGGCATCCAACCAGGCAGCCTTTCTAACCTTTGCATATCTATCCACCCTTTGATGCATCCAGCCGACCATCTATTCACCCATTTTCCTAAGGACTCACCTTCTTACCCACTGGTTTTTGCTGATTCTTTTTTCAACATCTGTCTGTTAGAAACAAAAAATACCATAAATCCAAAACAAACAGTTGTTTTACATTTTAAAACGTGTTGCCAAATATTAGGAAATGTGAATCTTAAACAGTTTAAAATATAAAAAATATAGGAGCTTTGTTGAATGTAACACGAGTGATGTATTTGATTAGGTTTGCAAAAACCTATTGGATTTATTTGTGTACTTAACATCAAAAGATAAGAGAAGATATATTTTAAAAAGGTTCGCTAGAAAGCACTTTTTGTGGGGAGAAACAAAAAAAACTGGAGTTGAGAGATAAAGCAATTTTGTCTAATTCCTTTTCTTGACGAATCTCAATAAAGGTTGTAAGAGTTTTTGGAGCAGCCAACACTAATTAAATGATTTAACTGAACAACAGCCTAATTTTAGTCAGAAAAAGAAGTCTCTTAGAATTAAAAGTCTGATACAAGATTGAAACTCTGCATATATATATATATATATATATATATATATATATATATATATATATATATATATAAAAAACCTTATAACAGATTGTTTTAAAGCTTTAATGCTGCAGTGCACCTCTGAGAACCAGTTGGACGCCTGTTCTGACACAGAGCATTATACTGCCATCTAGTGGTGGAAGAAAACACAGCATAGTTATTTTCTGGAGATTCTCTGCCCCTCTGTAAGAAGCTGCTGCTGATTTACATTAGAGGAAGCAAATGAAGCCATCATGCATGCAAAGCCTCCTGCCTGACCCTTACATTTTGTACTGCAGACAGTGTGTTAATTGTCTTCCTATCATTAGCAGTTTATCAATTTTGTTTTTTTGTTTCCAGAATCCGGATCGCACCATTCCCGTAATCGTCATCGGCCTGCTGGTCTTCCTGCCTGGGTTTTACCATCTGAGGATAGCTTACTACGCCGCCAAGGGTCACCGAGGGTACTCCTACGATGACATCCCGGATTTTGGCGACTGATCAGATGGACTCTTTACTCTTTGAGCATATATAGCAAAGGGATCAAAGTCTCCTCCTGAAGCTGCAGAGAGCAATGTTCATCCTGGAGTGCATCATGTCAAAGCTTTAATGAAATGCTGCAGAAATGTATGACTGACGCATGTTTTTTCTTTGCTCTGTTTGCTCTTGTGTCTTCTACGCATTATTAGCCTCCACGAAGAAGCACGACTGACCTAAGAGAATTGGTGCTGGTTTATTAGCAGCAGAGGATGCCAGACCAGCTGCTGGCCTGCTACAGTTTGCTCTCACACAACACATAAATCATAACATACTTTATTTAGTGCTGCTCCAAGGCCATAGCTCAGATCATCTGTGGCTTTTGCAATGTAGCTTTATAATAAATCATATCTTTATCCAGTTTTATTTTTACAAGTTCTTCTGAGAAAATTTGGATCACAATCACAAGTAGATATTTCATGGTCTTCTTTTTTAAATGCTGTGTGTGAAGTATTTGTTTTTATTTTTTATTTTTAGAATGATTAGATGAGATGTTTTGTTTTGTACACTGGGATGATTAAAATAAAGAGACTGAATGTTTTGAATGTTTCAAGTTTATTTCTAGTGTTGTATCAAAAAAAAAAATAAAGGATGTATTTCAGATAAACTGAAGGTTGTTAAATTTGAGCGTGGGAATGGATTGACGGCTCTCATTTAAATTTTACATACTTAGATTCTCCTTTCCTGGGAGTTAAACAGATTTATAAATACAGTTTTTTTTTTAAATTTGTTCATTTTATAAACAACTGACACTAGATAATTGCATATTCTGCATAAAAAATGTATTTTCCTTCCATCTAATCTGAAATCAAACATATTTTCTGAAAGTAGCATTACAGGATTTCTTTTTTTGTTGCATTTAGTTAAATCAGGATTGTAGTTTTTATGGCAATCTCAAAAACCCTCTTAAGACACAATTTACAAGCTATATAGTGCCCACTTATGCAAAAATGCACGGATTTAACATGAGCACTAACACTTTTTTAAGACTCATCCTTATCAGGATATGTGGTTACTAAAAATATTGTTTCAATTTTTTTTTTCTTTTGTTCGATTCAGTTTTTCTTCTGATTTTCATCATTTTACAAAATATATTAATTTACTTCTTATGTTGGCAGATCACATCAAATTAAAATACATTTAATTTGCTGTAGTTTACTTTAATTTTAATGTAAGACAATGTAAAAGAGTACATTTATGTAGTACTTTTGGAAGTTTCTGTGAGGGAAACTAGATTTGACCTTTTCCCTGTGAGTCTCTTGGGTGCTGTCTGGGCTCCAACATGAGGTGAAGGGCGCCCTCTGGCTGCCTCAGAGCTGGACTTCATCAGGGGGATTGGCAACGGAAAATATGTCAAACAAGACAAAAAAAAAAAAAAAAAACTGGATTAAAATTCAGAAGCTTTCAGAGTTGGGATGTGGTCAGGATGATGATGAGTTAGAGAGAAGAAGGAAGCAGCAGCGGGGGGAGGGACAGAGAGAAGGGGTGAGGCTCTGAGCGTCACCTTTACGTGAAACGAACACCTGTTGCCCGGTGGGCAGAAGGAGACGCTCAAGAAGAGAAAGAAAACGCTCGTATTACAGCCGGACTGGGACCCTCTCCTGTTTTTGTTTAAATGAACAAGACGCTCTTTCTACTCTGTTTCAAACTGTCGCTCCAGTTGGACTGAAGGAAAAATGCAGAGGATTTGTTTTTAAAGGGAAATCCAGCAACAAGGTAATGTACATTGGGAAAGTGAAATAAATCCTTGGAGTTTTTAATAAGCTGTTTCCGGTACTTAGGCTGTTTAATCCAAACTAATAAAGGTCTTAAATTACGTTATAATGTGAAAAAAAAAAACGCTTTATATTAATATCATGGATTTAGATACTGAAAACCAAACAGGCCTCCTAAATCACACTGCGTATTGTTTTATTTTAAGTGGTTCTTGAATTTTATTTCATTTCCAGTATTATTACAGGCACAGAAGAAGCCGCGTTAATAGTAGAAGTATTGAAAAGTTAATGTTTTAACTGCGTCTCTTCAGCACTTTGGACTTATAACACCGGAAGATAAGGTGCCTTTAAACAGCAAACCTGTCCAGGGCCGCTGGAAGTCATTTTGATAAGGGGCTGCTGTGACATTTTATTTTATTTTATTAAAAAAAAAAGACCTATGAGCCTATAGGCCTATTTAAAATACAATAAACAGAAATAAATAAATGGATTGAGATTCACTACTTTATTTTCATATGCACTTCAGTGCACGCAACCAGGGTCTGTAACACACAGCAATAATTAATTAAATTACATTAATTATTAAATATTAATTAAACTTAACAATAATTAAAAAAAAAAACATTCAGTGGCTTTACGTCAATTTAAAATCCAGCATTCATGAAACGGTTGGGTTTTTTATATTTGACTTTAGGTATGACTTTTTTTCTGACTGCTTTCATACAAACGAGACACAAAATCTGATCAGTGTCTTCCACATAATGCAGCCACTGCCTTCTAGCAAACAAAGCCGGTGCCACAGAACGTGAGAAGGTTATTACCCCAATGCTGTGCAGGAAGTTTGAAACTGGGGCCGGTCTAATCCAAGCAGTCTAGCTTGGGTTGCGGGTGCTGGAACTGTGCCTGCTGGTGCAACTACCATCTGACACGCCGTGTGGACAGTCTCCTCACTTTGGTTGCTCTCCGTTGTCCTGGTTGCGGTACTAGTGTTCTTCTTCCCTGGTGGTGATTTTTCAAAAAAAATCCGAAATGTGTTTTGGTCATTAGACTATGTACATTTACTAGGGATACCTCGAGCGGAATACCTCAGCGTTCACTAGCTTGACGTTGCCATGACCACATAACTTCCGTGAACTTCCTGCTAAATATTTTAATCAAAATCCAAATGCATGTAATAATAAAATAAAAAAGTCTAAATCATTTCCCAAAATACTCATAAGAAATGTATAAATTGTGCAAGTATTTTTAATAATTTATTAAATTTTCTCTTTCATAACTAGGGGGTGTTGGGGCACCCTAGCACCCCCACTTTCTGCGGCCCTGACCCGCCTGCTCTGTTTTTATATATTTCACTTTAACAATTGAATAGGCTTTTCCCTCACTTGATTCCCTATTAAATCAGTTATGTGCTTGACTATACCATTTTTACTATAACTAAAACTGTTAAAGCTGGATGTAAAAATAAATTCTTCTCCTACTGTAACACAATACAACATGAACTGACCTATTAAGCCTACTGAATATTAAAGGACCTCTTATCCATAAATCTATTCCTTTTTTATTGCTAATTGATTGTATGAATCGATGCCTTATAGCACCGTATATTTATCTCTGGCATTATTATTAACAATTTACTGCACTTTTGTTTAAACTCTGCTTTTGTGTGAAAATATGCATGTTTGGTGCCCTCTTTAGGTTAAAAAGGGGTTATTATATCTGATTTTTTTCTTACGGATCTGACCTCACTAAGGGGTAGCTGCTCTCTGCAGACTTGCTCCAGGGGTGGGTGGCCACCCTTAGCCAATTAGTGGCCACCCCTACCATTATTTCCCCTCCAATACAGACAGTGGCAGCAGTAATACTCTCAAGTGGAATATTCTAAACATTTTATTTTTTTGTGGTTAATTATAGACATCAATATATTAACATCAAAGATGATAAGTACAGAATTCATGTTCTTTTCAGAATTAGATTTCGTATTTTATGGCGTAAAGGGAAAAATATGTGTCTCTGTAAGTCATCTAGGAGTCTTCAGTGAAATCATAGATAACTACAGTATTTTAATAAAAGCTTATTAAATAATCAATTTATTTAGATTATAGTGCTTGTAAATATAAATTTTATGCAGAATGTTTATTCATACAAGTAGGTAATAAATGACAATGATGATTGATTTACGCCCCAGAACTTAAAACCGATGTTTATCCGCTATACCTTTTATCTAGAAATTACGGATGTTTAAATATATGCGTCTATTTGTTAGTAAAGGCTGTAGGAAAGTATACTTTGTCTTTATTTAGAAAATATGGATGTTTTGCTGGTTAATTTTCCTGTTGGAACAGAGTAGATTGACTCTGAGGTTCTGGTGCCTATCCACTTTCGGCCACCCCTCAGTGTACAATGGTTATTGCCTGGCCACCTTTATTAAAAATTTCTGGCTACGCCTCTGACTGGCTCCTCATATACTAGGTGGTCTGCATAAAGACTGACAATAAATAAATGTTTTTCTTCTAAAAAAAATCATGATTCCCCTCATTGTAAAATGAAATTAATACAAAGTTAATTTATTCAAAAAATTTATTAAATTCCATTAAAACAAACCTTAATTAATCCCAAAGGTAAATTAAATGCTCCAGTTGTTGTACACATTGACCGCTGTAGGCAGGAAAGATCCAATGTATCAGTCTGTGTTGCAGCTGATCTGGAGATGCCTCTTACCAAAGAAACTGTTGTTGTGTAACCGTCTGATGAAGAGGATGCTCACAGTTGTTCATAATATTCTTCTCCTTTTAAAGAATTCTTCTTTGTGAAATAATCAGCAGTTCTAGAGGAGTTAGGGTTGGAAGTTCTTTATTAGCTTTTAATTCAATTCAGTTTATTTATATAGCACCAAATTCACAACACATGTCATCTCAAGGCACTTTACAGTTTAACCAAATCATACAGCAAATTGATACAAAGTTTTCTATCTAAGGAAAACCAGTTGATTGCATTGACTCATTGACTCAAATACAATCCCTCAAAGCTTTGAAACTGGATAAAACACGTCTGCTTCATCCGTCCAGTCTAGAATAATGATTTGGCTTTAGTGTTTTGTTACTTAGTGAAATAAGTTAAAAGCTTTTGGAAAACAACATTAATTTTGAAGAGAAAGAATAGAACATGTATTCAAATTGGAAGGGAAGGAAAGTGCCTTGTCTTTCCAGTCTAAAGGATGATTTGGCATTTATTTTGTGCCAATGGGACACAATACATAAAAGGTATTGATTTTTGTTTATCAAGAGTGTTTGGTGTGTGTATTTATTGCTGGTAGTATCTTAGAGCCAGGGGCTTAAACTGAGCTGCTGGCTTTCTGCATAGAACCTTCCCACAAACCCTTTTTTCCTCCATCTCTGATGAGGAAAGATCATAAATGGAATTGCCCTGCTCACCTTGTTTGTGTTGCTGCAGCTGTTTCTATGACTCAGCTTTTTCTTTTTTTATATACTGTTTTTAGGCAGAAGTTAAGCCTTGGATTGATGTTAATGTATCTAATTTAACCATTTTAATGTCTACATTTGAATTCCCTCAAAATTTCTATTTTGCCATCTTATTAATTGGGAATTAATTGGTTATAATGTTATTGAGCATTTTGGACTCTAATGAATATGTGGTGTTTATGTGACTTTGATCCCTTTGCTATATATACACACAAATTTCAAAGATTAAATGCATTTGCAAAAGATGTAATTTATTTTCTTTTATAGAATGGAAATGTATAATTTTGTTTGGGATATTGATTTCTGAAACTGGAGTGCATCTTCATTGCAGTGATAATTGGAAAAAAAAATCTTCTCATAACTTTTCCCAGATGAGCTCCGTTAAATGATTTCAAAAGCTCTCTTGCTGGTTTTTATCGAGCCTCTCAGGACACCAGCTGGGCTCTTGGTTTCATGGATAATATTTCCCTCAAAGTTTACATCATCAAAAAATGAACTCGGTGGCAATTAATTAACCTAAGAAGGAGGAAAGCCCATATGGTGCCTCTTGATTTGCAGTACAGTAAACACTGGATGTTTGACTTCTAAAGTAGGCTAAAATTACCAATTTAACAAATCAGCACTTTAGCTGTGGATGTTTTTAATTATATCGACAGAATATTGACAGAATCTGGTTGAAATCTTGGATAAATGGAACATAGGATTTTCACATAAGCCTTGCCTTGCTTCTTGAGTTACAAAATATGGCTTTTCAAACATTATGTATGGAACATTTTCAGTTAGGACATCAGTATAGTTTAAAAGAGACAAACATGTGGCCTTGAGCAGGTTTTTGTTTTTCTTTCTGGCTTTCAGGTTGAAAAGGGGTCCCTGACTTTAAATTAAAACCAATTAATTCCCTTTTTCATTTTGCATTTTAACTGAAACACCCTTTGGTTGAAATAATAAAAGCTTAATCATAACGACCTCTCAATATTTCATACAATCGCCTTGCCTTGAATCAATGCTGCAGCAGCTGGGCTCTATGGGGACAGGTGCTTTTTGCAATTCAGATCAGCAGAAAGATAGATGATTCATGTCATTTTATTTTCATATGTTCAGATACTGCTTTTCTCAGCACAATAGAGATGCCAAAATGCTGGATACTTAGCACAGGAAATATAAATGATACCTGCAAATCATAAAGAATTATTTTTTATTATTTTAACACCATTATAATGAGATACCACTGGGAAAACGTTGGTTTGGCCTAGTGAATAATTTCCACTCTACCTTATGTTTTGGAAGAATTTTAAGCTGAGAGACCCATTATTGTTTTTGTGGTAGGAGGAACCAGATTTTTATCCAAAATGCTGATATTTCAAAGACTCCATGGTGCTTTTTACACCAATGCATTTTTGACAGTGTTTGAAAGAAAAAAATAATATTTTAATATAGAAAATCTGAAACCTTCAGTTCTGTGAGTAACAAATTCATCCATTCCATCAATATTCCATCACGCTTTATCCCTGCTGGTGTCGGA